CTGCTCAGGAGCAGTTGGGGACACTGGCCATAGAGGGTTGGGGACACTGGCCATAGAGGGTTGGGGACACTGGCCATAGAGGGTTGGGGACACTGCCCATAGAGGGTTGGGGACACTGGCCAGGAGCCGTTGGGGACCCCGGGGCGGTGGCAGCACTCACGGATGATCCAGCGCTCCATCACCTCCAGGGACAGGTACTCACAGGCCATCTGGGGACAGCAGTGTCACCCACCAGGTCACTGTCCCCTGACCCCCCCCAGTGCCTGCGTGTCCATGTCACCATCCCCAGTGCCCGTGGGACACCGTCCCTGTGTCCCCGTGTCCCCATGTCCCTGTGTCCCTGTGTCCCCCTGTGTCCCTGTGTCCCCCTGTCCCTGTGTCCCCGTGTCCCCATGTCCCTGTGTCCCCATGTCCCTGTGTCCCCCTGTCCCTGTGTCCCTGTGTCCCTGTGTCCCTGTGTCCCTCTGTCCCCGTGTCCCCATGTCACTGTGTCCCTGTGTCCCCGTGTCACCGTGTCCCCATGTCCCCGTGTCACTCACGCTGTCACACGTGGCCGGGCTCAGCATGTCCCCAGCATGTCCCCATGTCCCCAGCATGTCCCCATGTCCCCGTGTCACTCACGCTGTCACACGTGGCCGGGCTCAGCATGTCCCCAGCAGGTCCCAGCAGGCTCAGGAGCTGCTCCTGTCGCCAGAGCTCCGCGTTCCGGCAGCGCCGCTCGAACGGGACCCGCAGTGACAGCAGCGCCTGGCTCAGGGTCTGCCACGGGGACATCGGTGTGGGGACACCGGCCCCGGTGTCACCAGGGACCCCCGAGCCACCCCGGTGTCACCAGGGACCCCCGACCCACCTTGGTGTGGGGCCCGAACTCCTCGGGCAGTTTCTTGAGGGGGTGCTCGTACTCCAGCACCATCTGCGCCAGGCGGGCAAAGCCGGGCTCGCTGCGGGGACACGGCGTTGGGGACACGCTGGGGACAGCCCCGGAGCCAGCCCCGGCATTGGGGACACATTGGGGACAGCCCCGGAGCCAGCCCCGGCGTTGGGGACACATTGGGGACAGCCCCGGAGCCAGCCCCGGCGTTGGGGACACG